TGCCTTTGTGGCCTCTGACCCGGCGTCGATCTCGCCTGGCTCCTTGGTTCACCGAGGAGCTGAGGGAGATGAAGCGCTGGAAAAGACGCCTGGAGAGTGGTCGGAGGGCCAGCCATTCTGAATCTGACCGAACACTGGTAAGGTCTCATATTAAGACCTATCTGGTGGCGATAAAAGTGGTGAAGTATAACTATTTTCCAACTCTTATTGTGTCATCAGATAATCGCCCGGCCGCCCTGTTTAGGGTGACCCGCTCCCTGCTCCACCAGGAAGCGTGGGAGGACCCCTTGGAGGGTAGAGCCGAGGATTTTGTACAGTATCTGTATAACAAAATCACTCAGATTCAGGAACACCTGGACTCTGACTGGGTAGATTCAGCAGGGAGGACAGAGACAGGTCTTGTGAGTATTATCTGGGAAGAGTTTGATTCTGTGAGACCCGAAAATGTGGACAGGATACTGGGCAGACTGAGCGCAGCCACATGTTTACTGGACCCGTGTCCCTCCTGGTTGGTGCTGGCCTCTCGGGAGGTTACAAGAGGCTGCCTCCAGGGGATTATAAATGCTTCCTTGAGTGAGGGTGTCTTCCCTGCCACCTTGAAAGAGGCGGTGGTGAGGCTTCTCCTCAATAAGCCTTCCCTGGACCTGGCAGTGTTGGCAAATTATCGCCCAGTCTCCAACCTTCGCTTTGTTGCGAAGGTTGTTGAGAGTGTGGTAGCGCGACAGTTCCCCCAGCACCTGGATGAATCGTCATATCTGGATCCATTCCAGTCGGGCTTCAGGCCTGGGTACAGCACGGAAATGGAATTGGTCGCGTTGGTTGATGATCTCTTGAGGGCTCAGGACAGGGGTTGTTCCTCTGTCCTGGTCCTATTAGACCTCTCAGCGGCTTTTGATACCATCGACCATGGTATCATGCTGCACCGGCTAGAGGAGTTAGGGGTGGGGGGCACCATCCTATGGTGGTTCTCCTCCTTTCTCTCTGACCGGTCGCAGTCCGTGTTGACAGGGGGCAGAGGTCAACCCCGAGGCCCCTTGTATGTGGGATGCCACAAGGGTCGGTCCTCTCACCCCTTCTGTTCAACATTTATGTGAAGCTGCTGGGTGAGATCATCCGTGGTTTCGGGGTGAAGTACCATCAGTACGCTGATGATACTCAGCTGTACATCTCCACCCCGGACCACCCCAATGATGCCCTTGAAGTGATGTCCCGGTGCCTGGAAGCCATGCGGATCTGGATGGGGAGAAACAGACTCAGGCTCAACCCATCCAAGACCGAGTGGCTGTGGTTTCCGACATCCTGATATAGTCAGTTGGTGCCATCACTGACTATTGGGGGTGAGTCATTGGCCCCCATGGAGAGGGTTCACAACTTGGGTGTCCTCCTGGACTCGCGGCTGTCTTTAGAAGAGCACATGACGGCCGTGGCCAGGGGGACATTTTATCAGGTCCGCCTGATTCGCCAGTTGCATCCCTTTCTGGATCGGGATTTGTTAAATACGGTCACTCATGCTCTCGTTACTTCCCGTCTGGACTACTGAAATGCTCTCTACATGGGGCTCCCCTTGAGGAGCACCCTGAGGCTCCAGCTGGTCCAGAATGCGGCTGCGCGGGTGGTTATGGGAGCGATGTGGCGCTCCCATGTGACCCCCCCTCCTGCGCGAGCTGCATTGGCTCCTGGTGGTCTTCCGGGTGCGCTTCAAGGTTTTGGTTACCACCTTTAGAGCGCTCCATGGCATCGGACCGGGGTATTTACGAGACTGCCTTCTGCTACCAATAGCCTCTCACCGACCAGTACGCTCCCATAGAGAGGGGCTCCTCAGGGTGCCGTTGGCCAAACAGTGTCGACTGGTGGCCCCCAGGGGGAGAGCCTTTTCTGTGGGGGCACCTACCATCTGGAACGAGCTCCCCCCAGAGATACGGAGGATCCCGGACCTGCGCACGTTTTGTCGTGCTCTCAAAACTTTTTTATTTCAGCAGGCTGGCCTGGCCTAACTCTCCTCTTTTAAATTTTTAATTTGTGATTTTATAAATTGGGTGTTTTAATCTGTGTTTTGGCCAAAATATTTAATAATTTTAAGGGATTTTTTAATATTTGTATTATTTGTATTTTATCTTGGCTGTTCACTGCCCAGAGTCCTTCGGGAGTAGGGGGGTATAGAAATTTGATTAATAAATAAATAAATAAATAAATACTAGTTACTTTGGGCTCCAATGGGGGAGCATAATAGTGGAGGGGATTGATAGATTAACAGAAGATCCCATCCTTCCCATCTTTTAATTGGGTTGCAGTGTTTGGCTTTGTGTATGATTGTACTTATTGTATTGGTGGAACAAGCTGAGAACTACATGGCAGCACAAAAGTCAGAGGATAGTAGAAAGGTAGATGTAGAGGGAGAGAGGAGAATAAGAAAGCCTGTTCTGAAAGCCTGTTCTAAGACACCCCCCCCCTTCATCTTTGTAGCATATTGGAACAGTGCTATCAAGATCCTTGGTAGCGCAGCAGACTAAAGTGCTGTTAAGTAGCACCAGCTGCCTGAAATTACTGCAAGTTCAAATCTCACCAGGCTCAAGGTTGACTCAGCCTTCCATCCTTTCGAAGTAGGTAAAATGAGGACCCGGATTGTGGGGGCAATAAACTGACTTTGTATAAAAAAGAACACCGCTGGGGGGGGGGGGCGAAAGCCCTACTAAGCAGGTATATTCAAAAGTATGAAGGCTATTGCTTAACGCATTGCAAGCTGCCCCGAGTCTCCGGAGAATGGCGGCATATTTTATTTATTTATTTATTTATTTATTTATTTATTTATTTATTTATTTATTTATTTATTTATTTATTTATTTATTTATTTATTTATTATATTTCTATACCGCCTTTCTCCTGTAGGATTCAAGACGGTGTACAGTCAAGAAAAATATAGATACACAAACATCATAAAATTGCTAATTAAAATTATTACTTAGTTTGGTCAATTAAATAAAACCCAGAATTAGATAACATTTTAAAAAATCATTCACATGTTCATATGTTTAGCCCCGCCTGTTGGAACATCTGGGTCTTGAGGGCACGGCGGAAAGCACGGAGATCAGGGATATTTTGTATCTCAGGGGGCAGTTCATTCCAAAGGGTTGGAGCCCTCACAGAGAAGGCCCTCCCCTTGGGAGTCGCCAGTCGGCATAATTTGACTGACGGTACCCTGAGTAGTCCCTCCCTGTGAGAACGAACTGGTCGGTGGGAGGCTATTGGTGGCAAAAGACAGCATATAAATTGAACCAATAAATAAATAAATAAATAAATAAATAAATAAATAAATAAATAAATAAATAAATAAATAAATAAATAAATAAATAAATAAATAAATAAATAAATAAATAAACAAACAAACAAACAAACAAACAAACAAACAAACAAACAAACAAATAAATGTCTCTCCTTGTCCTTCTTTTCTCTAGACTAGATAACCGAATTCTTTCAACAGTTCTTCATATGTTTTGGCCTGCAGTCCCCTAATCATCTTAACTGCTCTTCTTTCTAAAGTCTCAACATCTCTTTTATATCGTGGTGAGCAAAACTGGATGCAGTATTACAAGAGTGGTCTCATTATTTATTTATTTATTTAGCAACAGAGTGGTCAATGCCTGGAATGCACTACCTGACTCTGTAGTTACATCCCCAAACCCCCATAACTTTAACCTTAGACTGTTGACCTCACCCCATTCCTAAGATGTCTGTAAGGGGCATGCATAAGTGCACCAAACTCCCTGTCCTACTGTCCCATTTATTTGTATCCATTTTATGTATTCATAATCATGTTATACTTATATCTGTTATCTTATACATGTTTGACAAATAAACAAATAAATAAATAAATAAATAAATAAATTAATTAATATGAGATCCTAATGGATCCAGGTATCAATTTTGAATCAGCACTGCTGAAATATTTTTATGCAGAACTGGAAATAAAATGGATGTGTATTATTGGTGTGTAATTTACTATGCACAGATGAGAAGAATTGGAGGCTTCTTTTTAAGTATGCAATGGAGTCCTGGATGATAGCCAAAGCTGGAAAATCTGGTGAATACTTAAAAAAAGCCATCCACAAAGAGGATGGAACTTGATCTGGAGCTTAAATGAATGGAGGCCCTGGGAATGGACATTAACAACTTGGAAACCTTGACCTCCAATCGTTCAGCTTGGAGGCTAAAGACTCAGCATGGCCTTCTTCAATTCGAAGAGACACTTGTTCGGCAGGCTGAGGCAAAGAGGCAGTCCAGGAACCCGCGAAATCTGGGGGCTGGGCAGGGGACAGAATGTATCTGCCCTCAGTGTGGAAGGGATTGCCACTCTTGAATTGGCCTTTTTAGTCACACTAGATGCTGTTTTAGGACCTCTTTCCAGAGCACGATACCATAGTCTCTTGAGACTGAAGGATGCCCATATATATAATATAAATCACACAGCACAGCTGATTGTTGGAAATACTGTTTCGTCTGAACTGGTAGCTTTTATTACTACCGGTTTGGGCGAACCAGTCCAAACCAGTAGCATTTCACCCTTGCTGCAAAGCCCAGGTTCTAGCTCACATCTGTCCATTCTCGAAGGTTGCCTTAATCATTAAATATTATTAACCTTAGTGATGAGAAAAAAGATGACTACCAACCATTTAAAAGATATGAAAATTAATTAATATTCCAAGACATTTCAAGATATGAATATTATTTATTTGATGTTTGATATTATTTGTTGTTTAATATACATTTTAGCTAATCTGAGTGTTCCAAGAAAAAGGAGGATAACGAATAGTTTAAAACACAAATATTAATTATAAATCACTTGTTTAATGTTTGAAATTTTTGGATTTTAATTTGATTAATCTGACACTCTTAATATTTTAATTAGCTTTGATTTTAAATAACCCTAATTGTCAATTAAATGCAAAGGAAGCATACAAGTCAATAATAATTGCAATAAATAATTAAATGGTACAAATCTAAGAAACAATTTCATTATCATTGTCAGCCTCCGCTTTGACTGCTTCAGCTGCCATAAGAAACGGGGGGGGGAACAGTTAGAGGGGCGAAGGGGGGAAGGACGCAGGAGGAGTCTTTTCGAGAAACGAAACCAATTCTCCAAAGGAGCCGTCAGACCAACCGTCATTACATTCCTGATGGATGACGTTGCCAGACGTGATTCCACCTGACCTTTGGGAGACCTTTGGATTGGATGATGGACGATGGACAAGGGGGGGGAGATGCTTTCTAGATGCACTTTTGCGTGTTTTGCTTAGTTCCAGCTTTACCTGGGTTGCGATCGCTTCATTTTCAGTAAAAGTACTAATCTCTATAAAAATCGAGTTTGGGTCATTCTTTCCTGGATTTTGAAGGAAGCATACCTGACAATCATTTTCCTACTTTTATCATTAAATGTTCCTTAGTATTCAGCTTTGGTTTCAGGATGACAATGTAGCATTTGGGGAAGAAGATGCAGCCCAGGAGTCCGGCACCAGAAGCCAAGATGGCGAAGATCTGAACGGCCACCATGTATTTCCCTTTGGTGCTCAGGTAGGTGGGCAGGAAGGAGACCCAAACACTGCAGAAGACCAGCATGCTGAAGGTGATCAGCTTGGCTTCATTGAAGGCCCCAGGCAGATTCCTGGCTAGGAAAGCTACAGTGAAGCAAATGGCAGCTAGGAAACCCATGTATCCAAGGACAACATAAAACATGGTGACTGAGCCTTCATTGCATTGAAGGATGATCACTTCTGGCTGGGAGTGCAGGTCAGAGTCAGGAAATGGGGGAGAAACTCCCAGCCACAATGCACAAATGAAAGTTTGGACACCAGAACAAGAAAGGATGATGGAGTTGGCTAAGCTCTTCCCCAACCATCTTCTCACACTGTTGCCCGGTTTTGTTGCCAGAAAGGCCAGCACCACTGTGATTGTTTTAGCCAACACAGAAGACACGGCTACTGAGAAGACAATGCTGAACACTGTTTGTCGGAGAAGACAAGTGGCTTTCCTTGGTTGTCCAATGAAGAAAATGGAGGACAAGAAGCAGAGTATGAGGGAGACCAAGAGGATGAAGGAGAGGTCCCGGTTGTTGGCTTTGACAATGGGAGTTTCTAGGTATTTAATGAATATGGTTAAAACAAGGCCTGTGGCTAGAAACAAGAGTAAAGCAAAGGAGGCCAGGATGATGCCCAGATCTTCCTCAAAGGACAGGAAGCTTATTCTTTTGGGGATACATTGGACTCGGTTCTCATTTGGAAATTGATCATCTGGGCACTTGGTGCATTTTTCAGCATCTGAGAAAACAGAAAGCAAGATTTTTTTTATCTCTTTTTATGTTTTAAGAAATATCTTCTTTGGATGACAGATAATGCTGAGAGACAGGAAAGCCATAGCAAATGGTGAAAATATGTAACATTTGTCTGGTTGCCCATCTTAAACCAATTTAGTGCAGCTTAAAGGGGCTGCACTAAATGGAAAGGGGCCTGGTGGCACAGCAGACTAATAGCCTGTTATTAACATTCAGCTGCCTGCAACTACTGCAAGTTCGAATCTCCCCAGGCTCAAGGTTGACTCAGCCTTCCATCCTTTCTAAGGTAGGTAAATTGAGGACCCAGTTTGTGGGGGCAATAAGCTGACTTTGTATAAATATACAAAAGTATGAAGGCTATTGCTTAACGCATTGTAAGCCACCCTGAGTCTCCGGAGAAGGGCGGCATATAAATCAAATTTTAAAAAAAACAAACCCCCCCCCAAAAAAACCCAATATATATGACAACAAAACCAATAACAAAATACATCCCCCCAAATATATATATATATATATGTTTTCTCAGGTTTTCGCGGGTGTTTGTATGTAGGTCTTTGGTTATTCGGGTCTTCTCCCACGTAAAATTGGAAGTGTCTTGGCGACGTTTCGACGAAGTCTCATTCGTCATGTTCAGGCTGGTGTTCTCGGCTTCGTGCTTCCAGGATATATATATATATATGTATATGTATATGTATATGTATATATCTGGCACCCCTGTTACCCTTCACTGCAGCAACACACCACATTCTTATCCTGCACTGACCTCATATCATCCCAATAGCTAAAAGAAGAACCAGGTCTCCAGAAATTTAGGAAGATGGAAGCCTCTTGGAGGGAGAGTGTTCTATAGGGCAGGAGCTGCAACAGAAAATACTGCCTTCCAAGGACTCACAAGGTAGCTATAAACAATATTTGGTTTTTTACCTCTTAATCCATAAAATAGACAGAGCACTGGAAAGGAAAGATTTTATCCCCATTAATGGAAAATTTAGTATCACCCACACCAATGTCCTCTTGATGGATTTTCTGGTGAGTCTTCCATTTCATTTTCTTTTGTCCCTTAAACGTAACGTCTCTCCCACCATGGCACATTCAAATAGCTATTTCTGCTGATGTGGCTCTAGGATCTCCATAAAAATTGACTAATTAAATGATTGATTGATATATCTTTTTGTTTGCATTGTAAAGTTTGTGTGGGTAACCAAAATCAATTGATCCCAAAACATTCCTCAAGTTACAAAGATGTTCTAAGAAAGATACACATGGAAGGATACTTCCAAATTGGCAAATAGAAGAGAGATTTCCTCCAGGAGAAATCACTTAACCCAATTCACTATGTCCTGCTATCCAGTGGTGGGATTCAAATAATTTAACAACCAGTTCTCTGCCCTAATGACTGGCTGGATGGGTGTGGCCATGATGGGCGTGGCCAAGGGATACGACAGGCAGCACTTGGCCTCCTGCCCCCCCCCAGGAGCAAAAATGGGCCACGGGGGCACTCTGTGCCCCCACCCCCACCCCATTTTGAGCTTAGGAGAACTCCCTGCACTTACCTGGCAGCCTAAAATGGAGCATGTGGGGACTCCTGGAAGGGACAGGATGGGAAGGGGTGGAGCCAGCCAGCAATTTAACTACCGGTTCACCCAAACTGGTCCAGACTGGCTGAATCCCTCCACTGCTGCTATCTCTTCCTACCTGTCCCTTCAACATCTTTTTCAAATTCCTCCCATTATGGAAGAAACTGGGCATATTGAAAATTAACAAGAAAATAGTCAGGCTTATATATGTCTATTTTAACATACACATTGATCAAAGTGCTCTGGATAAATGCTATGGATGAATCCAATGCCTTTTGTCACCCACCATCCTGAATGGAGATGGTCCCCTCTGGACAAGCAATGCAGTCATAGCAGCAAATTGGCTCTCCTTCTCGAGCCTGCTTGACAAATCCAGGATGACAATTTTCCACACATTTGGACTGAGGCAGGGACTAAGCAGAAAAACAAGGAATGCCAAAGAAAACCTGTTAGGAATAACCATCCATGGAAAATGGTGGTCAACAAGAACATTAGCTAAATATTTTCTGGGTTTCGCTTAGGGAAATATGAAATTTCTAACAAGTTCCAAACAGTTGCATGGATAGTTGCAGGAGATACAACTACAGAGAGACACTGCTTAGTTCTTCACTTTTGCTTCTGGAATATGACATTGTAATAAAAGACTTTCCTACTTAATAAAGTCTTGAGGGATGGAACTGGGAAAAGATTTAACCATGAAGTGACAGCCAGTGGATGCATCATCGTGTGGCCCTATTAATATGCATAAAGTATGATGACTATTCCTATTCAAATTTAGAATAAAATTTATTTTAAAAGTTTTATCAATTTTTAGTTCTTTTAGATTTATTAAAATAGAATAAAATTGTGATAAAGAAAGAAACATGTGACTATTAGGTCTGGAAAGTTTTCCTTTGGACCACATAACACATTATAAAGCTGCTTCCCTTTTAAAGTAGCAATAGCAATAGCGCTTAGACTTATAGACTGCTTCATAGTGCTTTACAGCCCTCTCTAAGCAGTTTACAGAGTCAGCCTATGGCCCCCAACAATCCGGGTCCTCATTTTACCCACCTCAGAAGGATGGAAGGCTGAGTCAACCTTGAACCTGGTGAGATTCGAACTGCCAAATTCAGACAGCTGGCAGACAGCAGAAGTAATTGGAATAGAGCTGGAAGGGACCTTGGAGGTCTTCTAGTGCGGGTGTCTGCAACCTGTGGCTCTGGAACCACATGTGGCTCTTTTATCCCCCTGATGTGTCTCCCTGTCTAATGATCCCACCATTGGCTGGACAAGCCCCTAACCCTAACCCTCCCAGTCACTCCTTGCCTGGCCTGAGAAGGTAAGGGCAATGGCAGGGGATGGAGACTTGCTCCATATTTCAGAGCAGGAGCTAAACACCCCTGTTGTCAGTTTTGGAAGCTATATTAGGCCAGAAGCTTCCATGCTGCCACCTTCTCATGTGTGGGAAAGTAGGAGGGGGGATTTAGTAGAGGGGTTGTCTGTAGACATTATAGCATTCTTCCTGTTGGTCAAGGTCAGGGCGATCCTGCATCTGGAGAAGGAGTGGTCGGAGTGATGTCTCGAGATGGGACAACGGTTGATTGGAGCATGTGATCGACTAAGGAGTGAGGGGATGGTTTGGGGGTTTTTGATTTACTGAGGGAAAACCTGGACCTCTCAGATTCAGGTTTTCCCAGATGTGCCAGCTTACCTATTCTAGTAAATAGAACTTTGAAAAATGCTGGCTTCAGACTCTTTACTTGGCGTTGGGGGTTTTCTGGAATGCTGACACCTGTACTTGCCATATCTCGCAGGTTCTTCTTCCAGCCCTTGTTGGTGCTGCAGGCACCTCGGTCACTCGGGGAGATGCGCGACTTGCTCTCCACCCTGAAACCCTGGCCCAGCACAGCTGCAGCCGATGTTCTGCATCGTAATGGGCTCCAGGTGGAGGAGGAGTGATGACATAAAGGCAACACAGCCAGAGAACCAATATGAGTCCCTTTATTATCACAAACTGTGACCCCAATGTTCCTTTCAACTCTCCGGCCTGGAGAGAGCTCTTCCACCAACCTGTAAGAGTCTTTGGCTGACAATACTTCAGTCCCAAACGCTGTAAACAGAAAACTTTCAACTAAAACTCCAAGAAGGCAAGACAAGGTAATTAATCCAGCAGGGCAAGCAAAATAGGGAATTCCAGAAGTGAAGTAGCACAGCAGTAAATCAAACCAGTTGGGAGAATGCCAGGAACTCAGATAAACACCAGAGAAACTCAGTGTTTGTTCCCGACAACTACCCCTCCCATTTTCCTCTTCTTTTAAACTCCATCAGCAGCTGTGCCTTGTAAAGAGGATTGGGTCCCTTTCCTCCCTCGAAAGCCATGCAACTCACATTGCTCTCTTCTCCGTTTCTCCCTGCACTGCCTAGGATGAGGAGGGGGTGGGCCTTGATCTTCATCTGAACCCCCTCTCCCTTGTTCTACCTCTCCCCTGCTCTGCCCAGTCTGGAAATGGTTGTAAACCATTGTAAATCGTTCAAGAGGGAAAACACACACATGCACACAAGACAGAGACACAGAGAGAGAGATGAGAGAAAGGAAGATGAGAGAGAGAAAGAGAGAGACAGAGATGGAGAAAGAGAGAGAGAAAGAGAGAAAGAGAGAGACACACAGAGAGAGATACCTGTTTCCCACAAAAAAACACCAGGAGCCACATAACCTGGGTAAGCATGGCTGGCGGTAGGTCATGTGACTGGGCGGGAGTGAGTGATGTTGAGTTGGCCACACCCACCCAGGTTTTGTTGCTCCCGGTGAATTCCTTTCTGTGGGAAACAGGTCCAAATGGCTCTTTCAGTATTTAAGGATGCAGACCCCTGACAGGTAAATAAGAAACATTTAACTAATTCCCAATGTTGCAGGAGGTACAACTAGAAGAAAGAAACTTCTTTCCAGTTGGATCTTGAAAGTTTTCTACTCGACTACATGTATTTTTTATTTTATTTTATTTTATTTTTATTTTTATTTCTTTATTTATTTGTCAAGTATGTATAAGATAACAGATAAAAGTATAAAGATGATTATGAAAACAGGAAATGGATACAAATAAATGGGGACAGTTGGACAGGGACGGAAGGCACGTTGGTGCGCTTATTCATGTCCTTTAGAGACCTCTTAGGAATGGGGTGAGGTCTACTGTAGACAGTCGAAGGTTAAAGTTTTGGGGGTTTGGGGATAAAACCACAGAGTCAGGTAGTGCATTCCAGGCATTGACCACTCTGTTGCTGAAGTCGTATTTTCTGCAATTGAGTTTGGAGCGGTTTGCCTTAAGTTTGTATCTATTGTGTGCTCGTGTATTGTTGTGGTTGAAGCTTAAGTAGTCAATGGCAGGTAGGTCGTTGTAGCAGATAATTTTGTGTACTACGCTTAGGTCAGACTAAAGGTGGTGTAGTTCTAAGTTGTCTAAGCCATCATTACTTAAACAGTTATTGAGTAAGTAATCATTACTGAGTAATTATTGCAAAGCCATCCCATTTGTAAGAGATCAAAAACCTCCTCTCAGTTAAGATATAAAGGAAAACTTCATTACAGATCAGGAATGTCAACCTTAATAGATCTGTTTTTTGTTTATCTGAATATTTATTTGCTAATTTTATATGGCTGCCATACTGGTGAACTAAGACAAAAAATGACTGCCTAGATTTTAGAACTGTAAAGGGATGAGATGCAGGTGAGATAATGAGAATGTCTCCCTCAAAAAGGGGAAGTTGGGCATTTCTTTGTTGCATCACATGGGACATGAACCCTGTGTCAAGAGATCAAGCTACGTATCCCAAAAAAAAGGTCCTTTCTGTTGAAAAGCCATAATTAGGTGATACCCATTAGTGTCAGGGTTCCAAGGAACACCCCAACAAAATAAAGCTCTGAGGCCTGAGGCTCCTCAAAGTTCCAATTTATTAAAGATGTCATGTTGGCACATCTGGGAAAACCCAAATCTGAAGCTTCCAGGTTTTCCCCACCCAGCTAAGAGTTCACAGCCCTGCCCCACACCCACAAGTTCATCACATTGTCCAATCAACTCTTCACACTCCATCAGATACAATCTTCAAGCAGTCTCCATCAGACACAGGCAAAAGTCCTTGAATACGGAATGTTGTTATGACTAACTTTCTACTGCTCCAACAACAACCCCCTCCCAACTTTCCCAGCTAAAATATGTGGCTGTTGTGGCCCGCCAGTGGCCTGCACGGATTGTGGCTGATCCCGACGATGAGGAGGCTGGTGTGATGTCGTGCTAGCAGCCTGTGCAGCCGGTGCTCGAGTCAGACAGCGAGGAGGCTGAAGAGGATGTGGTCCCAGAGGCAGAGGCAGAGGCAGAGACTCAGCCAGGGCCTTCAGAACCTCCAGAGGCTCCTTCAAGTGAAGAGAGTGAAATGGAGGAGCCTCTTCTCAATGCTTGAGCATGCAGGGCTGCCAAAATGCAGGCGTAGCTACTCAGGAGGAGGTCTCCTTGAGAGTAAGGCTTGGGACTATTTGGCCACTCCCTTAGGATGGAAGACTGAGTCAACCTTGAGCCAGACAGGATCGAACTCCTGGCTGTGGGTAGAATTAGCTGGCAAGACTACATTCTAACCAATGCACCACCAAAGCTCCTGGAAAGGATGTCCCCTTTCATCAGTTTTATATAGATATCACACTGCATAGGGGACACACAATAGCTATGATTTGGGTCCTAAAGAATTATCACTCAGCATTATCACTTAGACATGGCTGAATCAATTTGAAAGTGTTCCATATAACAGCATCTGAAGGACACCTTGTCAATTGTACTGAAGCCTCCCAAGCCATTTAAGAAAACTAGAAGGGTTCTACTGCCCACATTCAATTCTCACCAAAGGTCATTGTTTTTGGTGAATAGGCTTAGCCACTTGAAATGTGTCTCAAGGCTTTGGAAAACAGAGAAAAGACACCAATATTTCACCCACCTTGTTGAGCAACTTTAGCTGTGAAAAAGTATCTTGGTAGATAATAAGTTTCTGTCTTTCAAAACTGCCTAGTTGCTCTGTAATGAGATCCTCCTTGGCGAGAACCATCATGCTTATGATGTTCAGATCTGCTGCCACATCACCATTTTGGTCCAAGTACAGTTTCAAGTGGGAAAGATTGCAAAACTCGTTCTTCTTCAGAAATGGATGGAACTAGAACAGAAATATCCAGGAATGTTAAAAGCAGAAACCTTGTTTCTTTTTTTAACCCCACATGGTTTTTTCACATTTGAATCTTTCTACTACAGTTGTCTAAATTGCAAATATCTTGAGTTGGGAGAACAGGTGTTATCAGTATCCTTAAAAGAGAAAAAAAGCAATATTTGCCAATGTCTGGGAGCACCTTTTCCAACTGAAATGATCTCTTGACTGTAAAACAGAGGAGACAGCATTCTTCTAATAACTGAAAGATGTTTCAAAGAAGTTTGCTGTTATTCCAGAGTATTGGACATGGAAAAATGGAAAACAGCTCAGTCACAAGAGAGGAGATTCTGGCTGAATGAGATGAAAAACATTCTAAAAAGAGGAGCAGTTTTAGAGCTTATCCAGTGAACCAGATAGGCTCGGTCTCCCCTTCACTGATTGTTTTAATGGCAGGACCCAACAGCCAATCACTTAAAGAAGCTTTAACTGGGATTTTTTTAAAAAGAAGAGGTGTGGCACTAGATTGTTTTAGGGTCTCCTTCAAATTATAAACATAAAATTCTAAAATGCTAATCACAAATTCATAAAGACAGGAATTTATTTAAAAATGCATAACTAAAATTAATGTTTAATATCTATATATCTATCTATATCTTCAACTATATCTATCTATCTATCTATCTATCTATCTATCTATCTATCTATCTATCTATCTATCTATCTATCTATCTATCTATCTATCTATGTCATGGTACCCACTCTTTGGAACATTATCCACAAGTGCTTGGATTGGTCAACCTTGTTGGCCTTTTGAAACATAAAAAGGTTGAGATGGTTCCCCCCCTCCCTTGCATTCCCTCTCCAAAGAAAGTAAGTTTGGTTCATGGTGAGGACCCCATACCTGCCATGGCTGCAGCCTTTGAGCCCCCAACCCCTCTTTTCCCCCTTCCCTTCTTCTCTTGAATGTGGAGGAATAGGCAGCATTCAAGGCATGGGCCAGACTATTAATCAAAGTGTAAGTAAGATGGATGTATCGGTTCCATATCCTGTTTCTTTCCACTTTTGTTTTCAGTGGTGATTTTTGAGTGCATCTTCTCCGGCCTTTGACAGAAATGATGCCTTTTGAAAAAGAACAGTAAAAAGACTCATCTCCAAACTGTGGCTGGAGAAAGAGATCTGGTTCGAAGGAACTGTCATTTGGCTTTTTTTTCCACTGAAAACTGTAGGTCCAAAAACTATGGACATATTTGAGAAATGTGTGTCTTCTTATTTGCAGTTCCCCAAAGCCTGCAATTATCCAGACTTTCCCTTCAATAGGTTCTGGCAAATTTTTAAGTGTTGAATGGAAAAGATGAATTCTTTCCGAAAGGAAAAAATATTCTATGAGGTGAACAAAGACATTGACTTGTCTCCACTTAGAGAGGGCATCCCTGAAGGTTGCTGTTTGTCCAGTAGTTGAGAATTGTTGTGATATAACAACACAAATTCCATTCCTGAGAAGCACAGGCATAAAAGTCCTCATGAAGTTCTTTCCCTTCTCCGTGTCTGAAGCAAAGAGACCAATCAAGGTCCATCTGAAATGGAGGAGAATTTGGATAATTCCTGAGTAGAGAATCTCTAATTTGGGGAGCATGTGGTAGAAGAAAGGAAATTGACTTTTATCACTCAGAACTTCTGAAGCAGTGAAACGGATCTGAAAAAGCAGTGAAGAATGCTGTATTTTGGGTCAGTTATTAGCTTTCAACAAATCCAACTTTTTTTGTCATGAACATATTATAATATTGTATTATTGATTAGCCAATAGCCATATCAAGATACAGAATGTTAAACACAGAACATTAGTAAGACCAGAAAAAACAAAATAAACAAACAAACAAACAAACAAATTAACTAAGAATCAAAATAAAGAACACAAATCATATTTCTGTATAACCCATACTTTCTTCTGCAATCAGGTCCACATTTCTTTTCCCAAAAAAGTTTTTATTTTTATTTCTCATAAACATATTTACATGTACAGTCATGTATCCACCATTTTTCATACATCTTATCTTTTAACTTTCATTTTTAATTTTTACTTATTCGGGGCTGCTCTTTTACCATTTAAACTTCTTTATTTTGCAACGACCTTTCTTCTTCTCCTTCCATTCTCTTCCTTCCTCTATCTCCTCCTACTTTCTTCGTTCTTCCTCTCCTTCTCTTTTCTACTTCCCCTTCCCTTCCCCCACTCCTCTCTTCTTCCCCCTTCTAATCTTCTCTCCTACTCCTCCTTCCCTTCCCTTTTCTTCCTTTCCTTTTCCCTTTCTTCTCTCTCTCCCTCTCCTCTCCTCTCTTCCTCTCTCTGTACTCCTTCCCCTCTCTCTTGTTGTTTCCCTTTTCAATTTAATCTAGAAAGGTATTCGAGCACCCCTGATTTTCTATTTATCTCTATTCTCATTTCAATTTCTTATTTGATTAATATTTATATCTATTTCAGCATTTGTGTACATTTTTATAATCCACATTTGCAGATTTCAACTGAACTTTTTGTTCAAATAAAGAGCCATATTATATGTAAGTTTTAAATTCTGTTAACAAAGAAAAGATGTTGCTGTTTAGTCATAAGTATTGCAATATCTTCTTTTCATTAAAAGAAGGACTAGGGGAGACATGATAGCAGTTTTCCAATATCTCAGGGGCTGCCTCAAAGAAGAGGGAGTCAAGCTATTCTCCAAAGCACCTGAGGGTAGAAGAAGAAGCAATTGATGGAAAATAATCAAGGAGAGAAGCAACTTAGAACTAAGGAGAAATTTCCTGACAGAACAATTAATCAGTGGAACAACTTGCCTCCAGAAGTTGTGAATGCTTAAAAACACTGGATGTTTTTAAGAAGATGTTGGATAACCATTTGTCTGAAGTGGTGTAGGGTTTCCTGCCTTAGCAGGTGGTTGGAATCGAAGACCTCCAAGGTCCCTTCCAACTCTGTTATTCTATTCTATTCTATTCTATTCTATTCTATTCTATTCTATTCTATTCTATTCTATTCTATTCTATTCTATTCTATTCTATTCTATTCTATTTGATTCGATTGGTCATTCATTTAACGTGCAGTCCAAGATACTCGTGTCTCTGTTTCTTATACAACTGACATTAAAATAATAGATGTGTTAAGTCTTCTATCTCTGGATTTCCAAAAATACACATCTTTTCATTATAAGGGAATTGGTTAAATCTGATATGAACATATCTTGCTTAGGATGGTATTTTCATGTAAATACCATCCTAAAATGTTCAGCCATTTCGATATTCAAATACTTCACAACTTGACACTCATCCACTTCAATGTGCCACACTTACTGAGAATTTATCTTTCCCTGCTTTGATGTCCCAGATTATTTCTTTTTAACTTGTACTCCAGTTGTACAAGAGAGAGAGAGAAAGAGAGAGAGAGAGAGACACAGACAGAGACACAGACAGAGGGAGAGGGGGAGAGAGAGAGAGAGAGATCACATCTCTTAATATGATTTGTAATTTATACAGTTCAAGCAGTATTTAATTGAAATGTTGTCTGTTTTAACAGGCAGAATTTGGGAGTCATTTTCCGTAGCTTTAATTTTATACCAATACTGAGCTTTTGAATTACATAGGGAAGATATACTGTAGTTGGATTTATCACTTATCCATCCTACCAATCCACTCACTTTCCTAGATAAAGAGGCACACATCAGTGGTGGGATTCAAATTTTTTTATTACCGGTTCTGTGGGCGTGGCTTGGTGGGCATGCCAGGGGAAGGATACTGTAAAATCTCCATTCCCTCCCCACTCCTGGGGGAAGGATATTGTAAAATCTCCATTCCTTCCCCACTCAGGGAAAGGTTACTGCAAAATCCCCATTTTTTCCCAATCAGCTGGGACTCTGGAGGCAGAGAATAGATGGGGGCGGGGCCAGTCAGAGGTGGTATTTACCAGTTCTCCAAACTACTCAAAATTTTCACTACCAGTTCACCAGAAATGTTGAAACCCACCTCTGGCACACATACAAACCTGTGGGACTTTGTAGGGTCCTAGTAATCTTGACATCTGGATAGAGATGTCCCTGTCAGCCCCATCAATAAAAGCCAAAAGATTGTCCTTCCTTCCACAGCTGTAGTTGGGAACATTGGCTTCTCCAGTAGAGAGCATGTCCAGCAAGGCATCTGAAGTGCCAATGCTGTTCAAATAGTTGTCATGGATGTTGTAACCAAGTGTGAGATTGCGCAGGAGCTGGGAATTCTTACTGACCACTTGAATAACCAAAATAAAGCGTAGGATTCTAGACTGATCAGAAGACTTTCTACGTAAAAAATGTTTATTTTATCATGAACATCAATAGCAAAATATATATTTATGTTTTTCTTTGTCTAATGAAAATAAAGTATGCACTTTTGAATGAGCAGGAGATAAACTCCTGAAAAATGGTCATCTTATTTTCATCATCAACAGAACCAACAAATACTTCTTTTCAATCTAAACCACTTTGACTTTTGAAGCCTACAGAGTCCTAAGGCAATACTGACTCCAAACCCAGAGACAAATGATACTCACCCATTTTCATTCAATTTTAATAAATGTTGGGAAGATGGAATCGATACAGTCCTCCACAGGGGTTAAGAATCACAAATACACTATTCTTTGTGGCAGAATTAATTTTCATCTGCCCAGTAACCAGGGTTCAAAATAATTGAATAATTAAAGTAGAACCGTCATAAAAGGAAGACAATATTTCAAAAGTAACTCAGAAACCAATTCTAAAAATAAGCCATCCTGTATTTCTATAAGGATCAGGAAGTAAATACCAATGAGTAGTTATGTTTGAAATGAGCTGGGCAGGGGAAAACTACAAGAATCACTAATTTAAACAAAAGTCAGTGTTCAAGTCATGAATTCAAGATTGAACAGGGAAGGGAAAATAATGTGGACTTCTGTCAGATATTTTTTTTCTGTCTCATCTTTGGATTTGAATCTCTTCCTCAAAATAAGACAAAGAAAACATGGAAATCAAAATGATTCAGGAAAGCAGATAGGGCAGGTGCTGCAATATAAGAACAAGTGGAATAAGGAGAACAAACTGAGAGTGTTAGAATTAGAAACTGAGGGAACACAACTCTATTATCCTGAATGCCTTACATGTGAGACTGACTGAAAGGAGCTACATTGAAAGGGAATGTAATATTCAATATTTTTGTGCCAATGGTGATAACACCAATGAGATGGTCTCCTGGTCCGTAATAGCTCCATGGCTTTTTCCCATCCTGATGCTCCAAAGTCAGTGGACATTTCATTGTAAGATTCCCAGAGACCGGCAGGGACAACAGTAACATCAGAAAAAGAAGCAGGAGGTTCATAATTCATGGGGATGAATCAGTCAGCTTCCCGTTTTTAAACAAGAACAGGAAGAAGAGTTGAAGAATTAAAAGTCCTCACACAAGAGACAGGGGCTTTCCTGATTCAGACAGAAACAAAGCAAACTTCACCTGGAGAGGAGAAAAAGATACATTTAACAGCACAGTCTGATGTTTGCATTGGTCACTGGAGAAGTAGAAGACATCTCAAAGAGCAGGATGGTGATAATTACAGTGAGAAGCAACTTTTCCTCTGGGGATCCTGAACTTCTTCCTTGGCTCCATTTGCAGAAAGGAAGCTGGAGTAGAGCATATTAGTGAAAAATTACAGATGAGGGCAGTGTTCTTTAGTGGTTGTGGTCTTTCCTGTCAGGACATGTCCAGAAAATGATGCTGGAGGAAAATGCAGCATCCTATTTTGTTGACTTTTGCTATCCTTCAACATGGAATCTTTTCTCCAGAGACTGCTGGGTAATGAGGATCACCCAGAGCTCTGGAATTTGGTGCCACTCTAGGCTGAGGACACTGAATGTTTTGGGATTGTATC